TGCTGCTGCTTCAATAAAAATAAACCCTATTTAATTTTTTTTTTTTAAAGCGAGTGTGGTACTGGCAAATGACATATGTGGGAGACTGAACTCCCTTTGACTTCTATTTGTTATTATTGTTACCCAAAAAGAGGTAGTGGCAGCAGCAATACAACACCTTGCCAATGTACCTCAGACTTGGCAAGAAGGAACTACGTTCCTGGGTGGGAAGGTTAGTTCAGTCTTCACATCCTGCTAGTGCTAGGCATCTGACACATTCCTGCCAGTCAGGTGTCAGTTTGTGACTCTTGGGACATCTTGGCAGTGTATGTATCTACATAACTGCCCCATGACCATGACTCGTTCCATACAGACCACTGACACAACAGCCAGAAGTCTGAAACTTGACTTACTACCAACCAGCTCCCTTGAGATTAAGTGCTCTATAGCCCAGCATGAAGGAAGTTATTTTCTTGGGCTATTTGCAAAATAAATGCCTGGAACATATAAGTTTCTGTTAAAGCAACACATTTTATGACACCCTTTTCCTTTATTTTTTAATATTTTTTCTGCTTCATACCAACTTCCTCGCTGTCCTGCCATGCAGATCCCTACTCTCACAGACTAAACTCCCAAATGTCTGCCTTGCCATGCTTCCTCTCCTGCATCTCTGCATCTCATCCATACCGCCATTCAGGGGAACAGCATTTCCTCTATAAGAGAAGTCCTGTAGGGCTCAGTTTCCCTTGAGTAACTAGTCCTTTAGCGTCCAGTGTTCCTCCACCCACTCTCTTTCCTAAGAAAGTTCATGCTAGTGCTAGACAATGAGAGGTAGGACAATACCAAATTCTCACGTAAAGCCCAGTGCACCCTTTGTGGACATAGAGTTAAGCCAGTTGCTCTTCCTTGCATCAGCAGGGCCAGTCTTGGTAGATAGCTTCACACCAGTCTCTTTCATCTCCCTCTGTGTTGACAAGAGTTCAGAAATGTACTAGGTAAGAGTGATGGTGAGTTGTCACACTGTGAGAAGAGGAGCATATCCTAAGGGAGGATGGGCTGACTCTGAATCCAGACTGCCAAATTTGGTGAAATTATTAAAAAAATGGAACATTTATTTGTCTCTGTATCATGCAGTAAAAAGAAATAGTTACTCTGATTCCTCTCCCATTTTTGAACATCAGAGTCCCACCTCTAAATCCTCTTCTATGTGAGCTGGTAGAAACAACCTTTTTCTCTAGCACCTTCCCTGTTGTGTTACTGAACATAGGTGTTCAAGAGATGGACAAACTAGAAGGGTCACTTACCTTATGATAGCCTTGACTGCAAAACGAACCACAGTGGAGAGCAGGAATAGTGGTGTGACCAGGATGTGAAACAATGACAGTGATGCAAAGGCCTGGGCAGGCTGCAGCGGCTTGTCATTGGTATATGCATAAGTCACAAAGGTCTGTCAACATCAGGAAAAGAGCATGTCAGGAAAAGAGCATGTCAGGATAAGGACTCTTGAAAAAGATGGACAAGGACAGCAAGCAAAATATTTTGCTCAACTAAGGCCAATAACTATATACCTCAATTTACTGTGAAACCCAGTAAACTGAAGAGAAAGTTGTCTTCTATTAAAATGAAAAAGATTTTTAAAATTTGCCAGTGATTTCAAGAGATTTACTCATTTAAGAATGAAAAAAATATCTTTGCAAAATCAAAGCATTAAATTTTGTAAAGTTTTGTAATTAACTTCAAGATTTAGAGGAAACACACAACCCAGAATAATCAGTAAGAATCTAACAAATTTTAGGGTTTTTTTCACAGATGCAGAGTTATGGTCATATTTCACCCAGTTCTGGTAGACACTGTCAGCATACTCTGAGTAATGCCCTCAGAATTTGGTCTATGAAGACTCCTTGCTGACCAGCATGCCATAGTTCCTCTAGAGCATTAGGCTGAGATTTAAACCTGGCCAGGGGACAAGCAAAATTTATTTCTCCTTAAACTGCAGAGTACCCTTTCTTGAATACTGAAATGGTGGCTTATAATGCACTTTGAAACAGGAATGATTTTCACTGGTAGACAATATAGAATAGCGAAGCCACCCAAATTGCCTTCAAAATGAGAGCTTCTCAAAATGGGTCTTCTTTCAAGTGCAATGATTTTTTTTCTTTATTTCTTACAGTAAAAATTTGTATTTCTTTTTGTTTTTACCAATCCAAACCATAGCTGGTGAAATACCAGCTCTGGGACTGGGCAATTCCAGTGTCATGCTATCGTTCAGTTAGCAGGGGCACATTAAGTCATCTGCTGGTTTTGTGAGGAATACATCCTACAGTAACAATGGTGTCCTTTTTTTCTTTCTCCCCTTTCCTTTTTCTCTCTGTTTTTATAAGGAAAAGTGAAAAAAACATATCTTACTGCAAGAACAGCTGCTATTGGTATGGCTGCATTCATAAAAACTGTGAAAGAGAAGTAAAATAGGCATGAAATTATGTGAAATAAGAAAAAACAGTTTTACAATTAGTTGTATGGCGCTAGAAGAACTGAGTTATGTCCAATTCAAGTAATTAAAGCTCTCAAAGGAGTTTGCAGGAAGAAATTTCCTTCCATGAGAGAGAGAGATCTTAAACACACAAACAAATAAGCCAAGGAATTATCTCATTTGTATACTTCAGTGAACTGGGATAAAAAGTTTTATGTGCACAATTATTACGCAACACAACTAAAACATTACCCTCTCAGCTCTTCTATATTATATAAAATACAATTTCTTTCAGACACTAATTTATCTTTGCGGTAATCAGAGCTGCTAATATTATCATGAGCCTCCTTACTATAAAGCAACTCATAACTGTAATGTCATAATGAAGGTGACAGAAAACTTACTAAAAAAAAAATCAAGATATGCTCTATATTTTCAAGTTTCTGTGTTATGTATTTGTCATGCCTTTTTATTTTAATAACATTCCACACACAAAAAAAGTGTCATAGGCACAGCTGTATCTCCTTTAGTTGAAGTCAGGAGGAACGCTGACATGAAGAACAGGATCCATTTCCAAGCACTAAAGACATAGTTACTTACTGGAAAGAGATGTATGAAGCGCAAAGGTTTTTAGACTGGTGAGTTCCTTCATTCTCGTTTCTTCCACACTAGTACAAAATATGTGCTCCCAGGCATACAGCTTTAATAACTTAATGCCTTTTAGTATCTCATTGGTTTTCTTTAATCTCTCAGTAGAATAGTCCTTCATTTCAAAAGAAAACAAGGATAAGAAATTCATAATGGTTTGTAGTTTTAATGAGAATGCTCTTTTCCCGTGATTTCTGTTGTAAAATTCATTAAAGATTTATAATTTTGTTTGTTTGTGATTTTGTACAGGCTTTCAGTTGCCATACTGAGTAAAACAATATAAAATTTCATGTTCTTTGAATATATTAAAATGCTTACAATCATGAGGGGAAATTCAGTGACCCTATTATGAGAAGAAAAATAAACCAAACCATCTGAATCCTTCAAACAGAGGGTGAAACTCAAGGAGGTGGATTAGTAGGTCAATGGTTTCCATAAACAATAGACAGAAGACTACGTGTGTGTAACTGCTGATACAAGATTAATTCTGGGATTCGTACAGCCTGGTCATGAAAATAAGTGAGAAGTTTATTGATATATTTTGCTAGTTGCCGTGACCAGAAAACAGTAATCCTAAATTTTGGTAAAATCATAATCCAAAAGATGTTATGAGTATGAGGAACTCAGAACACAGCAAAAAGAAGGATTCAGACTATTTCTGAAATTATGCAAAGATAAATCCTCAGTTGGTATAAATTGGCACAACTCAACAAGACTGAAGTGTGCTGAAGATTAGGTCCATGTATGTATAATTTGCTTACTGAATATTAAGATAACATGGATCTTTAAATATTTGACAACTCAAACATCAAAGGTTGATTAAAAAAGTTCAAGGATCATGAGAATAAAGTTAAAAATTAGACAAAGTATCAGAAAACTTTTCTAATTGGTGAACTAAACTAGACAGCGAAATAAACTTACAGCACTGGACAATATACAACACATATTAATCCAGCCATGCCAGCTAATTTTTAGACAATACCAAAGCTTGGGGTGAGAGCATAAAGTCTATAGCCATTTCAGAGGGGGGTTGTACACACTCTGTAATACTGTCCTCCTATAATTTATCAGTCATTTATACTGTTTGCTAACATCCCATGAAATACAACATCTGAATGTAGGAATAACACCCTTTCATGGGATTGAATTCAGATGAAACTGTGCTAGCTGGGTGAAAAATACTCTGCAGAGAAAGCAGGTCAAGGCCCACATACTTTTTTCAGATTCTTGTCTGACAAACATTAAGAAGGAAGAGATACTGAGCCACAGAAAAACAGAAAGGATGATGGAGTTAAGGGACAGCTTGCCCAAACCTCCACAATGAATGTTCACTAACAACAAGAACAGAATCCAGAACTCCTGGTTCCCTGTTCTCATTTCTGGATCACAAATGTCACTGAAATAATTTACTTACGAGAGTGCTCTTCTGAGCCTCAGCCAACTTCGTAGCTATGAAGTACTGTATTGGAGCTAGCAGTACAATGACAGCAGCACCGACCAAGGCACTCACTCCGAGTAAATTGTAGAGTAGGATCACACCCATTATTATCTATGAAGAAAAAAGCAACATAGAAAAAAAAAAAGTAGATTTCAATATGCCAGAATGATAGCAAGGAAAAAAAAAGTTTTTCTAATAAACAGTTAAATGGTTCATAGGAATCAGCTGAGCCCGTACTTCAGAAGGTCATGTTTGGAAAGTGTGGGAACCGAACGCAGAAGCCTTTATGTTTGACAATAACTGCATAGTTTGTGTTCATGCCTGGTAGTCCTAATTCCAGATGAGGTTTCCATAGAACTGAAGGAGCACTAAAATGACGGTGCTTGCCCTAAGGCATTTTACAGAATCACTGGCCTCAAGTCTTATTTACACTAGAGCTCCTTACATCACTCTGGAAGTATTCAAAGCTCTTATGTCTTATTCATGGCAGTCCATTGTAAATCACATTTTCATTCTGTTGTAGTGGTTTTCTTGCAACTGCAGGCAGAGGCATGTCTAAGAAAGGCACTGAAGCATGATGCAGATGCGCTGGGAGTGACACAGACCTGAGCTTGTGCATCAATACCACGTAGCTCTGTAGGACAATATCAAGATGCTACCTTAGCCCTACAGAGAGTTTGGGAACACTTCCCACAAAGGTTTACCTGGGAATGGCTCTGATGCAACTACCACAATTCTGGTTCCCATGTTAATACAAGCTCTACTACGTAAGTATTTTTATAAAAAGCTCCACTTTATGGTACAGAGAGTAACGGGCCATACAGAACTAGTTCCCTACTTTGTATTTTTGCTGTCCCTTCAGTGAGTCAGTTCTGTCTTTAAATCTGCCTTCTTACTATACAAGTCAGTGGAGTTCAACACTTTGAAAGCATTATTTAGCTTTTTAGGCTTCTGTAATGTAAATTAGCATACCTACATGCCATTTTCTTAGCAGAATAATACAAGGTTACAGGTAGCAATTTGTACTTGGGGTAAACTGAAGCCCTTACTGGGGGCCTGATCCTGCAATGAGTTTTTGTTCTTGATAACAGGCCATAATTGGTGGACACACAATATATTTTCTAGGATTCACAGCAGTCTTCAGCAGGCTATGGCTTTATTGGCTCACACTGGAAGGATATAACTTCAGTATTTGCTACAAGCTGTTCTGCTCAAGGAGGGGGCAGACTTGATAATTGCTGTTTCTTGGGACATCCCTTGAAGCTCAAGTCCTTTGCATAAGGAAAGACAGGATAGTCCCACCATCTTTTCCAGAGGTATAGTTACAATCCAGTCCATAGGTACCAAGAATTAGTTTTTTCCTTTTTTTTCCCCAAAAAGCAGCCAATTGAGCTAATCAGGCAGAAAGACATTGCTACATCACCAGTGTCATTACTATCAGCTGCATAATACTTTGAGAAGGAAAGAGTAAGGAAGTATTCCCTTTCAATTTCATCACTGAAGCAGAGGTGTAAAGTAATCAGTATGATTGCTAGAGCTTAAGAGCAGAAGGAGTCCTCTATAGCCTAGGCCACAGATGCTCACTCACCAAGTTCTTCAGAAGGCACAAATTCATGGGTGATGCGATGCTCATTCCTGGACAAAGCTACGGTTGAGCTACCCTGTGTTCCCTGTCTCCTGATTGCCTGAAGGTGAACTAGAGGAACCAGCAAAATCATCAGAAGCTTCCTCAAACCAGCCTTTTACAGTAGTGGTGAGGAAGGCCATTACATTTCTACAGTGGCTGAGACAGAGTCTTTATTGAAGACACAAATGAGTGGTGAATTTAGGCTACATATAATTATTCACTAGCCACAGGAATCGGACCACCTGTTCATTTAATAACTTTCGAAGTATTAACAGCAACACTTCCAAATAAACCTGGATATGAAACAGTCACTTAAAATGAAACACTCTGTAATATTTCTAACTTCAGTTACTGTGCAAACTTTTTTGGTCTTTTTCTCCATAAATTATTTCATGGTTCTCGAAACCCTACTCAGTCCTAAAATAGACACATAACAAACTAATATTTGTTTCCATTAGTAGTAGCAATATTGCTGACTATTATAATAAATCAGTGATACAGTAACAGGAATTTCAGCAAAACAGATCTACTCTAAGAGTGGGTTCTATCCCTTTTTAAACTTGTTTAATGTCGGTGGGATCACCTATAGGTAAGGACCATGTCATTCCCACCCCAAGCTAAAATTTTGAAGGTGCTACAGGACTCCAAGCTTCATGGAAAATCAGCATGGCTTAGGTCATCAAGTTGTTCAGCACTTTTGAAGATTTCTTTCAGGCTAATAATTTTTAACTTTCCTTCCTGAAGATTTGCCTACAGATCTGCCTACAGATCTTTCCCAGCCTTGTTAAGAACCAGATGTTTACAGTAACTAAGATTGTTTAGATGAACGCTCCTCTGAGCATTTTGTGCAGCGCACTGTCGGTGCTGCTGCCAGTCACTGAGCAGGATTCAATTGCTTTTTGCTCCTGCCACAAAACGCAGTTACAAGTGGACACTGCAAATGCAATACGTGGTGCTGGTCAGATGCCTGTGCTGCTGCCATGTGGCAGAAATAAAAGCAATGGCTTGTGTCAGCAGCAGAAGAAATATGAGCAGGGAAAGGATGACAGGTCATCATTCTTAAAGTCATAGACCGCATCCATGACATGGAAATCCTGCTCAAAAAAATACTTGCTCCTTACTGGCCCTCGGAGAGACAGCCTCCCAGCCCTTGGAGGAGATGATGGGCCATGTTTCTGCTTGTTAGTCCTCCTGGCAAGGGAGTGTGAAGTCCAGGTTGCCCTCTGGACTTTGCAGTAGTCTCACAGACATATATCCTTTTCAACCAGGTTGGAAGATGTCTGAAATCAGGCCCTTACTTTGATGCTCTACCTGAACAGGCATTGCCCACAGATTGGGGCACAGGAACAAGAACCACATTAATTGATTTGTTTCTATGGCAACCAAGTTATTGATTTGTCCCAGCGTCATCTCTCCCATGGACAAGTTGGATGTGGAAAGCCTCAGGATCTTATTATATATCATTGCCTGTGGGAAAGAAATAAAATGGAAGATATGAAAATTACATCATACATCAGCAACAGTAGCAGCAGGACTTTTCAAACAGCAGTATCAGTCTTTACCTAAGACAGCCCTTCTCCCAGTCTCTCACCTGAGACAGAGAGAGAGACGGAGACAGAGAGAAAGCATAAGAGAGAGAACTGACTTTAAAAAACTCCAACTCCTCTTAAAAGGTTTGTTGCTTAACGCAGACCTAAAATAGAACAAAATGACAAGAAAACATAAAAATTTAGGAGACTGGGCAAAGATCTTTTTTAATAAACATTTTGTGAGCCTACTTTTCTGTGACACTGTCTATCAAAGAGGTCCTTGTTTCTGATAAGATAGTGACCTATAAACTGTTGATCAGAGTGGGTATGTATTCCTTTGGGTTTCTCTCCTTTACCTGGCCATCTGTTTCCATAAAATTTGTAGAAGCTTAACAGGGTTTAAAATTAATCAGGGCATATCTCCACCAGAATTTTAAAGACAAACATCGTGAGCCCAGTTAGCAGTTATGATGGAATACCACACACTGCATCTTCAAGGAAGTTTTTAAAATAATTTTTACTCTTTGCCCTGTTTTGTCCGTGAACAAGGTAAACCCTGTAGCATTAATCAGAAATGTCTACAGACCATGGTGAATCACATCCAGTGCATATGATCTTAAAAGTACCCATTTTGGCAAGTGGGAGTCACAAAAGCACAGGGAAATAATTAGGTACTATTTCTTCACCAAGTCTGTGCCATCTATCCTGGGAGAAGGCAGAAAATGCTTGAAACAGCTATATCAATCACAGTGCACACAAAACCCAGCAGCTTCCACGCTCAGATGATACTCCTGTGGTTAGTTACACCTGGCAAAACATCAGTTCCAGCTTCTGTTTTGCACATGGTGCTACTGCCGTCTGTGGAGTTTGGTCTGTGGAGATCCCTGCTACAACCCACCCACGTTCTGAGCTGGAGCTGCTGGCTCCAGTTCATAAACATGACTTTCACAGAGGGTTAATGGATGCTGGTTTAAGAGACACAGCTTTGGAGATGAATCACTCCTGTCCCATCCCACAGGGCTCTGTGCAAAAGGGCATAAATATCCAGAATCACCACTGACAGTACACGGACAATGTTCCTGTAAAACACAGCTCGGCCAAAGATACTCTGCAGATGACGCTGTTCACAGTCAGCAGAAGTAACCTCATAAAAGCAAATGAACAAAGCAGTGGCAGAACCAAAATGACACTGCTTATCTTCATATACTTAACGTTATAGAATCATAGAACAGTTTGGGTTGGAAGGAATCTTTAAAGGTCATCTGCAAAGTTATGTTCTCACATGCACAGAGTGAGTGTTAAACTTCTACATGTTAGTATGATGGGTTTAGTTTTTAGTAAAAGGAATTGCTAACACCAGCTTGGCTTGTGTCAGTGATACTACTTTTTCCAGTTTTCTGTATAAAAATACAGTGCATCTCTTCTCTTAAACAATTAACTGCATCTTCAGGTAAAGAACAAGCCATATGAAAGTAGGAAGCTGGAGATATTATTAGTGAATTTCTTGGCAGATTATAGGAACATCTCTGCTCACCAGTAAAGCACCTCGTAGGTTGATGCCAGTTTCTGTAGTCACATAGTAGGATGCCTGCAGGAATGTCCTCTGCAAGATAAGGGCCAGGAAGAGAAGAACTGCCAAAACATAAACATTCCTGAGGAATTCCTCTGATGAAAGATATGAATTTGATGGATCCTTCACCTGAAAAGAAAGGAAAAAATGATGAAAGTGGTATGGGAGGGATTGTATATTCCTGAGACACTGGAAACAAGGAAATCCAGTCATTGCATTAGAATAAAAAATATTGATGGTATTATGGGCAAGTTATGGAGATCAGATTTCTCACTGTCCTATGTATCAAAATAATTTGCATACAAATTAAACACTCTGCTCATGTTCCAAAGACTTAGGATCTTAACTTCTAGCAGTTCTAAAATGAATTGGTTTTAGCTGGAAAGGGACAATGAGATCAGCAAATCTACCTTATCTTTAGTTTCTCCATTGATAATTTGTAGGGTAGAAATGCTACTCAGTAGAAAACAAAGCTCATTACACCTACACCACAAAGAAGCTGCAAGAAAATATTTTTTATTATAAGGGATTAGTTACTTATGTTGCATTTGTATATTATGGAAAAAATTCCTCCCAGAAATGTAGTCTATGATGCCTGTGGATTCTGAACAAAAAAAAAAAAAAATATATGCCAGTGTTCCCCATAAAATGAGGTTTAAATGCCTCAACAGGGGGAAAAAAAAATCTTGTTTAAATTACTTGATTTGTTTTCATTTTCTGTTTTTTCTGTTCACTGTGCTACTCTGTTTCAGGCAGAAAAGGAAACAAATGTACCAAAACACTGCAAGAAAGGCTGTTCCTTTGGTATTTCCGATCCAGCTGGAAGCAGGATGTACTGTAATTCTTATCCCCCCAAAAAAAAAAAAAAGGAGGAGGAAAAAGCCTGTTCTGCTGAAATACCCAGCCTGATTCTGAGATGAAAGGTTTGGGAAATATTGGAGAGTAAGCCATGTACCCACCCTCTTGAAGATTCCTTCATCACTCTGGATTACTGTCATCCGCCATGAGACTGCAAGCAGGAGAGAGGTGGTCCGAGCCGTCCAGGCTCACCTCGCTGCAGTGACCCCAGCCTCTCCACACCACGCACTCCTCCCTCTGCCACAGGCAGCTGACAAGGTGTGTATAAGCACCTAACACTGTTTTCAAAAGGTCCAATGTCCGTAAGACACCTAAATCCCACTGAAATAATAGGACTAAGTGGGTCAACCAGCCCAAGACTCCTTGAAACAAGGGTTGCTTAAGTGCGTGATTAGTCAGATAAGTATATTTGAAAACTCTTCTCTTAATGTTCTGCTGCATTTAACTTCCCCATTTTTACATAGTGTAATACTACATAGTATTTACTACATAAAATACATAGTATTTTATCAATAATAAAATAACATTTGTAGATACCTTTATCAATGTATATAGAGTTCTCAGGAATTAAGGGGGAATAAGCATAAAATTCAATTAACTCACATTAAGTGAAACTAGACAGAATTAAAAGGAGAAATGCATAATAGCAAGAACAACCAAGAGAAACTTTATCAAAATCCATAAATTAAAAGCAAATGTATTCTGAACTGTATCCAAGAGAAATAGTGACTGTCACCAAGCCAGGCTCCTGGAGTGGTTTCAAGTTCTCCAAAGACTATTTAATCTTCCCTTTAGCCAGTGTTGATTAAAACTTAAAAAAAAACCCCCACAACTAAAACCACTACACTGAAGAGTACAAAAAAAATAAACGAAGCAGATGAGGTATAGATTCCTAAACCTGAGATCCAGAAATGATCTTTTCCAAGCTAAAATACCTTGCTTGTTCAACATGCAAAAAAAAAAAACATTTTTGAAGGCAAAATATGCACTTTGCCTTTTAAGTCTGTGGCTCAAATCTAACACGTGGAGGTTCAAGGATGATAAAGAGCTTTTTTTGATAAGCTGCACAATTAAACTCTCCTTCCGTGCAATGGCTGAATGAGAGTCTAAAGCCAAATTCAGACCATCAGTCAATAAAATGAATGTCAGGAGTGGGCAGCCAAGGAGATGTTTGGATAGTGATGATAGTCAAATGCTTTATCTGGAGGGGAAAATATTATTCCATTACATACCTATCTGCTCATTCAAATACAGAACACTCACTGCATAAAGTCGATGGAGAAGTTTCCATATCAGAAGACAGATGTAGGAAAACTCCTTCATCATGTCTTCTCTGCTGTCAGCTGGTGAAATAATTTTACCTGTATCTTTTCACTAGTTGCTAATAAATTATTTTTCTTATGATAGAAAATATTCTGTATCAGAGGCTTGCTCAGTGCTTAGAGGTGATCTCTGACAGTTCAGCCCTGGTGAAACCTGAAATGAGCTGTGAATTAGTATCTTTTGTGCACCTCTAGTATCAAGAATGCCATTGAATAAAGTGGATGCTTTTCACCTTCCCACATGCACCAATGCATTTCATCACAGCAACAAGCAGCATAAACACAATAAGCAGCATAATCACAAACAGGGAATGACTACTCTCTGCTTCCCAGTGGAAAATAGATTTCAGAGAGCTCAAACCTGTCTATGAACTACAAATGGACAGATGGACAGAAATTAAGCAAAATTCCCAAATTCATCCTTGCTGGATGCATCACTGAGGCACCACCAGTGGGTGTCATGCCTGAAATGAGGAGGTACAGTTGAAGAGAAGCAGAAAAGCTGTTCCTTCTCTCCAGAACTGCAGGAATGACTCCACCAAGAGGCAGACAGCCAGGCAACCTGTGTTGCATTCATACCAAAGACTTCCATTACTCAGGTCTGTAACTTGACCGTCTTTCACCAAAAAAACCAAACTCAAAACCTCAATTTGCTTGAAAGAAACAATTAAATGATACATTGATGATCATGGACATATAAAAGCATGCAGCCAGATGTATTAAATACCTGATATGAATCTATAACTAATATCAAACAAAGTCTTTCAGTCGATGTTGTCAGGTTACCTTTTCTGTTGCATTTGTGTTATTGGTTGTATTCTGGAAGCCCTGGACAATCCCAGAAATACATAATGGCCCAGCAAAACCCAGCAAGTCAGCCAAGTAACGGAACGTGCTGCTGAGAAGAATTGGTCGTCCAAAAGCACTGTACATGGCTAACCATATGGAGGGACTCCGATTGGGCTGGTCTGCTACTTTTTTCTGGAAAACAGAGAAACAGGTATCAATGGAGCATGAAGAGGCCTCCCTGGCTGTATACAGCAACTTCCATTTTGTTCTCCTCTGGATGCCCAGATGGTTCCTGAAGGGTGTTTTGGAGTAGATGAGGTAGGAAACATGCTATAGATATCAACAGATTTCAGACATTTGTCACAGCAAATTCAAATTCTGTCTCCTCTTGGTAACTGGTTCCTCACCTCTAAATCCTAACACTTTGCTGAACCTGTGAACACAGGAATGCAAATGCAGATTAATTGTACTGGCATATAGCCATTGCTCCTTGTCACACATGCGCTCAGGAAAAGGTCTGACCTTTCAAGCCCTTACTCATATGGATAATCTTGGCTTTCACAGTAGCTGTGAAACCACTTGATCCAGTAAAGGCTTCTGATATGAGAAAGGGATTGAAGCAAAAAACGTGGACAGACACCTACAAGAATATAGTTTAGTTGAATTTACCTGGATTTTTTCTGTCTCTCAGATGCCTTCCAGGAAGATAGACTTCAGCTGATCACTAATTACTGGGCTCAAAAAGGTGAAAGTAACAGGCTATGTTGGGAGGTAAGATTAAATCAGCTAAGGATCCTTTCTAGCTTTCAGTTCTATGAATTAATGGAGTATCACAACTCTTGCCCTGAAACACCAACCAGCAGATATCTCTGTATCTAGTCAGAGGAGTTCTGATATTTCTGAGGTCCTTTTAATCTACAGAAGAAGGAGTTTTACTTGACAGATCCATGGTCTGCAGAGCGCTTCGTTGTGCTTCAGGCAGCAGCTTTTGACACTTTAGAAAAGCATCTGTCATTTTTCAAGTAGTACAGATGCCTGCAAGTTGTAACCCAAGCCAAGCCCTCTTGAGTGTTCGCAGACATTTTAAGTACAGCCCTGTGATAACGACCCCCTGCCCCAGCAAATTAACCAAAGAAAAGCAAGTATGCCTGTACCCTGCCTGGCTGCCTCATCTCTTTTTCCCCCTCTTTTCTCTGTTTTTCCTTTTATGCCACTTCAACAGCAAGGTAGAATATGTGCATGGTGCCAAAAATGTACAAGTGTACAGGAGGGCCAGACAGCTGCTTACTGACTTCTAGAGATTACCCCATATCAAATGAGGAAGCTTAGTACAGAGAAATAAGTAGAATGGGGACAAATTAGAGCTACCGTTCCAGAAAGCAGTAAGAATGAAACTGCTGCTTCTACGATGGAAATGCCACAAGGGCCTCACGGGAGTTTCACAGATAAAGGGGTCTGAATTTGTTGCCTACTGGGTTTTGAGCTAGACTGTACTACAGGGGTTCTTGTCATCCTCCTCAAATAAACAATCTGCACCTTACCAGCTTGATAGGAGCTAAGCTAACTTCTTAGGAAAACACATATTCTGTCTTCTGGAAAAAATTGCACATACTATTCTGGGCATTCAATTAATGGTAAATTTGGTAAATAGCAATGATAAATCCTTATTTCTTTAATAAGATATTGCTATTTCAATAGCCATTTTCACTCCTATTATGAAATTCACCTAATTGTCACCACTACATGAAATCTATTTACTTTTAATTGGAAAAAATAATAAATAAATTAAACTATCTAATAATCTCTATTGCTGTTTCTTCTTTTTTTATCAGGACTTCAAATTAGCTGAAGCATCTAATGGGGATAGGAGAGAAAGAAGAGTAGATTTTTTTTTTCTGATCCTAAACTCTATTCCAGAATGGTTTGAGGGCCCAGTGTTACGGGCTTGCAGTATAGTATGTTGTATGTGCAAACACTATCCTTTATTTAGGTGCTGAAAGACGATCTGTCAATCACCACTCATTACAGCTCTGTGACAACCATTGACACCTTTCGGTAAATCCACACTTGAAAGTTTGGCCAGTATTATAAGAATTAAATGTAAAGATCTGTCTGGGCCTTCTGCACCAGAAAAACGTTATTACCATGATGACTATTTTCTGCAGTTTCCCTTTAACCCTTTGTGGCTTGGGAAGCCACCTGAAGCCAAGAGCTTCTCCTCCTGGGCACAGGAGGCTGAAAGGACATATTTTTCTTAAGGTCAGAAAAATAACATCAAAACATAATGTTAAAAACGACCCCGCTACAGAAAAGAAGAAGAGCTGTACTAAAGACAGGGAAGAGTTGAAGTAATACAAATGTGAACTTAATCAGTTTACACATCTATGCATCTCAGTACCTGGCTTAAATTTACAGGGATTATTTTTGTTGGTATGTGGTATGATTGGTAGCCTTTGTTGTGCGAATTACCAGCCTGGACCGCTGTTCTCACCTGTGGCACTTCGTTTTCCTTGTCTTTGTCACCTCCCTTTTAAATCACTGTAGTTTTCTCTACCTTTGGCGTTCAACAGTTGAAATAAGGGCAGTGAGAGAGCACTTGTTGGTAAATCAAGCCACCTGCAAGGTACACCTCAGTAAATATGGAAATCTGACTGTTCCCTTAGTGCTGTAGCTGACAGTGTCAGCCTGATGCTGAAGGGCAATGCTCTGTCCCTGTGATTTCTAGCTAACACACTTGCTTTCCTTCTCTTTTTTTCATAACAGATAAGATCCACAGTAGCACATGAATAGTAGGTATAGGAAATTCTGATGGTCCTTTGACTTTAAAAACTGCATTTTCTTTTACACCATCCCAAAAGTAAAACTTTCTACTGACTGCCAGAGAAATTACACAGGATTTTGGTTGATGGGGTGAACCAAATGTAATATCAATGTGCTAAATCTATTTTGGGATATGTGATGTATGGCCCATTAGTATGTGGTTTGAAACATCTAGACCAGTTGTATAGTATAGAAAACAAAAGCCAAGCAGCAACAGAAGCAGGATCAAATTTTTTGGGGGGAGATTATGTGACAAGTACTACCTACATATAGTAAATAATTGACACAAAAATTTCACTGGGAGAGTTTCATTGCATATCATTAAGAACTTATTTATCTTCTTAATCTTATTAAAGGATTCTTTATCTTCAGCCAAAACGTCCATTAATATAGTAGGAACTGTGAATGTGTATTAAGAAGAATATATGAATTTAAGGTCATGGGTCTAACCCTATGTGTATGATGTGCATCCACTGATTATTCTGCAGAAGCAACCTTCATATCCACAGTTAAAATTTCTCCAGGATTCTTTGAAAAGTATAATTAAAATACTGTATTTCCATTTCTACATGAGACTGTCCAGAAAAGCAAGAAAATACAGAATGTCCATCTTTTATAAAATTTACTGATGGCAGGAAATAATGAGATAAGGAAAGCCAACTGCAATGTGGGTTTTTTGGCAATACTTCGTTTAGGAGAAAAACACAAACAGCATATTTAAGTAAGCTTAATTATCAGAAGAGCTTGTTTTACCAACAATTTGGTAATTCTAATCAAAAGAATATATGCTATGTTTTTTTCTTGTGATATGCTGTGTTATGCTATGTTGCCAAACACAAACTATCTACAAAACCAGTAACAAATGACCTGTATCTTATTGTAAGAGTTGGAATGCCTTTTGCAGTAGCAACTACCAGAATAATAGCCAATTAGGATGTCAATCACCAGTTTTTAGTATTGTGTTGGTGTATATTACTTAATATTATAACAAAATTACTGATAACTGGCTTTAAAATTCTATGAAATACCATGTAGCATGAAAGTGATATTAAAATTAAATTACTTGATGCTTTGAAAAAATTACTTACAACTAAAGAATTTTGAGTAGTGAATGTATTCATAACGCTAAGAACTGCTTGATGAAAATTTGAAAATGTAAAAAACCACAGAACAGAATAATGAATTCAGATTTGTGACTGAGAAGTGTTAGCTTAGGTCTCATGTGTCAGTGGGCAAACCTTCATACGGCAGGATCCAGAAGAATTCTGCCTAAATAGTTGAATATGGATTTCTGGAGTTTTCCATTGGCATCAATGAAAACAAGAAAAGGTTCCGCCCAGTGTTCACAGACTTCATGGTTACTCAAGTAGCAATATGCTGTTTTAGCAGAATATAGCAGCCATAAAAATTTAATCTCAGACCCTCTAGTTTACATTCCTGTACGCTTGGACACAGGTTTGGAAAACATTGAATTTGAGAAAAAGGTCATGAAAATTTAACCTGACTGATTTCCCTCATGCTATTATTTGGTAGAGAACCTCAGCTGGTTTCAATTTTCACAGCATGCAGAAGGGCTAGCAAGACAATGTCATGTGAGCTACCTCAAAGGCATTTTACAATACAGAATATTCATGGTCATGTTCAGCATCTTTCATCAAGGCATGATAAGAAGGGTTTGGAAAGGAACAGAAGCCCTCTTTTTGCAGGACCATGGAGCACAGCTGAGATCAGCTATCTCCAGGCACAGGCAGGGATAACCCCACTTAATCCAGAGGATGCTGGGAGGCTGCCCTCACCAGCTGCGGAAGATTAGTGTAAAATACACCCTGGCAGCAGAGACAATGACATATCACCTCTTCCAGATGGCAGACCGTGCTTCAACCTGAAGAATTTTCCTAATTCTGTGGCTGTTTTCTGGCCCAACCATGCAGAAGCCAACACATTTCTCTGTGGGAGTGAAGTGCAGCAAGTTCCACTGCCTGGCTCTTTGGATTGGTTTTCACCCTTTCGTTTAATTTATCTATGAAGTATCAGTTTACTTCAGGGTTACAGCCTGTTTTTGAATATTAGCACAAATGTGCTAGAGGCTGTGGTAATCTCAAGACTTTAAACAATTATGGAAACCAATAAATCTGATGTAAACCAGCTTTATAAACATAAGCACATGTAACTGCATGGGTACATTTATGCAAGTCTTCATACATGCGTGGCACGCCGAGGGAAGCTACAGACTGAATGTTTGTGTTCGTGCACATAAGCAATAGCACACTTATCTTGCCTTTTGGCATCTGAATCGCGTATTTGTGCAGGCACACACCACACACAGTATCTGCAGATGTAAATGAGCTACAGGCAAATGCTTGCACCTAGTCACCATGCCTGTCATTAAGAATGGCACAGAGACTCAGATCCTCCAGGGCGTGTAGGTGCCTAAGACTCTTTGGCCTCTAAGTAGGACTTGGGCACCAAATGCTTCTTTAAGGAGCTGGCCTAAGGGATGCATTCTCCTTTGCTGTGAAAAGTTCCAATGACTCAGTAGTTTTCTGCTTAAAGGAGAAAGGTCTTGCTCTCTAGTCTCTGTAAGCATCGAGTACAAAAGGAAAGAGAAGCAACCTAAATCTATTAAAACAGAAACAATTGTACTGAAACATGAAACATGGTTTCATCCTGAGGGCACAGAAAAGGAGCCTGCAGCTCCATCAGTTGCTGGGAGGAGAGAGTTGCTCCTCCCGGCTTCCCCTCGCGTCGCGGTTCTAAACCACGCACTGCTTGGAAAGAAGCTTAGCTGGTCTGTGCAGGAAAGGGATTTATATGCTTTTGTCCTATATGCTATGTTTTCCAGAGTGGCCTCTGAATGCCTGTATTCTATCTGTTTATGCTTGCGAATTGATATGTACATACAAATCACGGAAGCAGGCTCTCGAATCCTCCTTCTTTACTGTAAAACAAAGTATTTCTCTTTTTGGCAGAAAATGAAGTGCCACATTTTGCCTAAATGCATCCAGAAGTTTCTCTGGAAACTCCTGCCCTACCCAGTGAGTTTGCCCCGCCTTGGGTTTTGTACTGGGTCTGGCTGGGAGGGAGTTAATTTTCTTCATAGCAGCCCGTATGGTGCTGTATTTTGGATTGGTGACTAAAATGCTGTTGACAAGACACCAGTGTTTTGGCTATTCTTGATCCGTGGTTTTGGCTATTTCTCTTTCTGGGGAAAAAAGTGAAGATGAGTGTTTCCAGTGCTTCTGAAACTATAGACAGAATGTCTTCTAACTTAAGATGCTGTTGTAAGTAGCTAAGATTTAAACAAAGCTTTCACTTTTAAAATGAAACCTAGCAAGTGATCAGTCTGTTACAGTTTTAGTTTCCAGTTGCTCTCAACCTGGCAACTCTCCCCTGCTGTAAGTTCACTTAAAACCAAACAGTAACCATTGGATTGGAACTTCCCAAGCCAAGTTTCACCTTGGAGCAAACAGTCCTAAGTTAAAAATTCCTAAAACTAGGGTTCCATAGAAGCACAAAAAATTCGAAGAGACTCTATAGTTTCTAAGGCCAAACAGTGACATGAACATCTTTGGTTACCTTTTGTTCCTCATATGCTTCTTTGAGACAAACATAATTTGTCAGTGCTCTCATTGCAATTGGAAGCTTTCCGATTGCCTTCAGGTCCACAGGTTTCTTGTGAGCAGATATAATAAGAGTATTCATCCACCAGTAAGTCGCTTTTGAGAGCAAATTGACAAATGGCTGCAGAAACCTCACCCCCAGGTCCTGTAGATCCTCTGGTGGCTTTACTTTCTGAGGGTTCATGAAAAATACATACCTCTGGAGAGGAGAAAATAGACAGCACGTGCTCAGGAATTATCTTATTAACGGCAATTTTTAGTAAAGAGTATGTATAATACAACTAACTACAGTGTCAAATTTGCATTTAAAGGTAATTCTACATTGAATTTAAATGTAAATTTACATGTAAATAGGAGCATTTCCATTCTGACAGCATAATTGGCAAGAAATTGAGCAATATGGGATGTGGACGCAGCTCTGTAGCCTACAAGTACTACCTACCTCTATCTGAACAACAACAAAAAAGAATCTGTGGGATATAATTATATTTTAAAGTATTATGGGTAAGAACATATGCTAACTTATACATTCACTACATATATAGTTTATCTGCATTAACATAGCAGATACTGTATACATTGTGTGCACACACAGAGATACCCTTATATGCACAAATATGCTTGTATATCTATTTTAACAAATGTGTATGAACTCTCTGATATGAACTCTCTGTGTGTATACACATACATACATAGTGCAGGAGAAACATCAAGGACATACATTTTAAAGAGATGCCAGGTCCCATTAATTTCTGTAGAATTAACCAGACATTTACAGCTAAGCTAAACTTGACACAAGCCAGAGTTACTGGGACTAAAGACCCATCTCCATCCCCAAGATAATACTGATATCTTTTCAGATCCTAATAAAGAAACCACATACCCTAACTCGAATGACATTGATCTCCACAGCCATCAGCAGCCCATAGAGAATGACCATAATTCCAGTGATGCAGAAACGCAGCTGAGAAAAAGGCACACCGTCCTGGCAGTATCTGACAAGCTTGATCGTTTTGGTGACAAAGGCCATTATCCAGTAAAGAAAGAGAGCTGTAAAACAGATGCATGCGCATAATTTAAAACAAAACCAAAAATGCTATACCAGTGCCGTAGAAACTTTAGCATGCTCAAACAGATATATTCCATGGCTTAGTTAATGCAAGCATGGTGATCCTCTACATCACCAGCCTGCAAGCTGGCACAGTGCGATGTCAGCTCAAGTCAGGAACTCAGGTTTGAGAGATACTGCTTTGCACTTTCTTTTCTCAGACCACTATTTTCTTTCCTGGGCCACCACCTTTCAAAGAGATCGACAATGGTGGGTCTTCACACAATTACAAAAGTGCATTGAAGATAATCTGAAGGGGAACTTTGTTACTGAAATGAAGAAAAAGTCACTTAACTTGACAAATATCATATCACCTCTTTGAAAAAGCAGAGTACATTGCAGGTAAGCTCATTTTGAAAAAGAGTTTATATAATTTAATTATATCCTGCATCCTGGTTTCTATCTGTCAATGGCTAGTTCAGATTGTTGAGTTACAGGCAATTTGGACTGTATACTTCTACGAAATGTTATCCTGCAATGTCTAGTCAAGTTCTTGACCATCTCCTCGCTGAGAAAGATACTGTGAATACCAGGTAGCAGCTTCTCAAAGGTAAACCTTCTCCTCCCCACCTTTGGAAAAAGTGAGAGGTGGCATTCATCATTAGACTGGGTAATCTCAGAACCAACTGCAATGGATGCTGAGACACAACAGCCATCTGCACAGGATGGTTTGTGATCAGATTACTATTAAAAGTGGCCTTTTAAAATAACCCTTTTGAATGAAAACAAGTTTTTGCCTCAAAATAATGAGCAGTGCTGAAAAATACCTAAAAGCTTGTGCTATAAATACAATAGGCATACTATGCTTTTCCTTTTGTGATCATTTTTAAAAATAGTTTTCAGCATGTACCTTATAAAATGTACAATAACTTCTACAATAATATTAGCTCAAAGAGTAGGTAATTATTCCTCTGTCTTCTAATATTCTCATGCATTTCACCATCCTCTTCAATCTCTTCAACCTCTTAGCTGACTTCGGCTAAACTACTGGGTTTTGTAAGAGTACATAAATACCAGACTTAGACTTACCCAACAGTAACTTTGGAAAGTTAGATGTTTCAATATTATGGTAATAGACTATGGATACAGTGGCAGCCACAAACCCCATTATAGCTGGTAGAAAGAGATGCAGATGGCGAGATTTCATTTGTCTGAAAATAAATAAGGTATAAATGAGTGAATTTGGTGTCTTTTTTCACTATTGTTATATTCCTAGGTGTTCTGCTAATCTATTTAAGAGGACAAATATGACTTTCCTAGAGACAAAAAGATTTTTTCAGGGTAAATACTTTAACTTCTATCAATATTTACTTGCCATTACAGTTTGAGAGGAGAGTAACAATGTGCTGAGAACAATTGTTTCACCCTCATCCCATTAAAATCCAAACAGTTCAAGAAAAGATGCCCCATCTTTTGGGGGGAAAAACTCCTTACGCCTGACTAGTCAGCCTGTCACACATTACCAGTATACATTGATGAATGCAATTAGCTTGGCTATCCACCAAACACTGTCACTTACGTATCGGAAACTATGCCCTCTGCTATTTCACACACATGTACGAACAGGAGGGTGAATGTCAGGATCCACCGCAGGTTGTGTCCAGGGAAGTGCAGCCACGTATTGTGGTGAATCTGGACTTTGGAGCTTTGGCTTCCCCAGCCTGGAAAATAATAGTAATGAAAGAGGAAGGTTATCACACTGCCAGCCAGTGAGTGATCTGGTTATCAATTCCCTATTCTAATCCATAGGTCACGCTTAACAGTATATAATCAACACAAAAAAAACCCTACAAGGACCATGGGGGCTGTTGTTACTAATAAGATGACACAGGAGTGTATGAGTTGCCCTGTACCCCCCCATAATTTAGATCTGACCATGTAGACAATGGGACAACAGACTTCCCAAAGAGAAGAGGTCCCTGGCCAAGAACAAAGATGAGAAAACCAAAAGAAACATCTGAGTCTCACCCTCACACAACAGAGACTGACAGATCTTAAGTGATGGTGTCATCGTGTCTGTTCCAGTCAGAGACAAGAGCGGGCAAAGTTTGCAACTGATACAAAAGTTGCATCCTCCAGTGAGGCCTCAAAGAGATATATTTACTTCACACAAATAAAAATTATTTCTGTCTCAGACCTGGTTGGGAGCGCTGCCTCAGGTGATGCTGAACAGCCTCCGCTCCTCAGGCACAGCCCAGCCTCCCAGCCCTGTGCATTCCTGGCACATTAAAGCTCCCAGGACACAGCTGATTTAATCAAAAAATTAACCTCGAAGCCTATTTCCATGTCGTCATCTCAGATGGCACTTCTCCTTTTCAGGCAAGATCTTCTCTGAATACGGCAACCTGGCAAGAAGAGGGACACCAAGGACCTAATGGAGGTGATGGTGCTGGGGGGAACGGAGGACTGATCAGAGATTAGCCTCTCATGATGGCGAGTCTCGTCCTGCATGTTGCTTTATCCTCTGTCCCTTCCCACCCTGGTACAGGGCTGTCCTGAGTCAGTCAGCCCAAATGGCTGTGCATGTCCCTCTTACTGTAAGGCAGCTCCTGGAATTCCCTGACAGACTTCCCGAAGCCCATAGAGAATTGCAAGAACAGCACGTTTCAGGGAAGAAAAGAAACAAAACAAAAGAAAACAAAAACAAAAACAAAGAAGTTTAACTAAGGCAGTAAGCATTGCATCTGTTTCTTTCAGTAACTGCAGAACTGAGTTTAAGATCCAGGATATGCTTTTGGTACACAAGGATGCTGCATCTCATTGTGCCTAGAGGCTCATCAGGTGACTCAGTATCACCTAAACCAGAGCCCGAGTTCACTCCTTCTTGGAAACTCTCAGGACTTCACCATTTCATCCTTGTTTAATATGCGAAGTACTGCAGGAACAATATAGTCTCTCTTCTCCATATCTAACTCAAGTATTTTCTACAGTTCCTACAGAGATTCAGTTTTCCTAATAGAATGTGGTTCCTATCTTTGTCTCTCCCAGGCTGCTTTTCACTTTTATTTCCTCTTTGCCCATACATCTCCACAAACAATCAATTTTTGGTTTTGGAGTCAGTCAATACTGTAGACTCCGGTTGGCTTTTAATGCTCTGTTCAACAACTATGTGTCCTGATAATCAAGGTATGAAATAGAAAACAAATAGTTACATACATACATACCATACAATTTAAACTATTATGTTTTTTTCCTAACATTGTTAGAAAATAGAGGGAATTTTCAGTGGCTGCAAAACTATTTCAAAATTAATTGGCTAATACCTGTAAAAATATTAATACAGCCTGCTACCACTTGATGCCTAACACAGAATGCTGTAAAAAATTATCTCTGCCCTCAGACCTTACCTTGAGTTTCCATCAAACACCTCTGCAGAAAGCCCTGTAATTCAAGGATGACTTGCATCTCATCTCAAAGAAAGATCCAGCACTGTTGGACAGAGTCCTCCATAACCCTTGGGTTTTTCCCCAGTCTTTAGTTATTATTCTGTTAGAACTTGTGTCTTATTTCCTTGTTTAATTATTTAATTAGTTTTCAGTCACTGAATCTTGTTATACTTTTGATTGCTAGGTCCTGAGTGTCTTAGCCACAGGTTCCTGTAGCCTATTATTCAATCACTTCATAGTCTTTTTGCAGAATGGAAGTCCTTAAATCTCTAGTTCAAATATAGTTCCAAATTCAAATCTTCCTTGTGGAAGAAACATATTACTATGTGCATACACAACACCAGGAAGGTAACAAAATGACATGCCATTTCTCATGCAGTTGTCAGGAAAATGTTTATTTTTGCTAATACTTATTGCCACCTTGATAGTTATTCAAGTCTCTCTGTCTCCTATGATCAGTTAGAATGTCACTGTTTGACAGCTCTGAAAAAGTATTAAATTGTATTTATTTAATCACTGCAAATAGCTGGGATAAACAGGCAACTATAGAGAAAAAGTATCATTAGAGTACTAGTTTATATTTATATTTTATTACAAGAAAATGTGAGTTAGAGACACTACTATCATAAATTCTTCAAGAGAGATTTATCATTTCTTATTTTCATTCCTGTGGAAAAAGATTATTTCCTTTGCTCTACTTCTGTTTACAAATGTTGGCAAACAAATGAATTACTCTGTTTTAAAGGTTTCCTACACTTCTCTTAGCCTTAGGTCCAAGTTGCACAGTTTATATATTCTCTGAAATTCACATAACTTGAAGGGAATTCAGACCCACTGTCCTAAGTCTCATAATATCTAATAATAGCTAAGGTTGCAAGTTGCCAATTTCAAATCTGAAGAAAACTTCTCCAGAGAAGTTTCAGAGCATTTGGATCTGATTTCTCTGGTTCTCATCCATCTTTTCATGCTGCTTAGTTCAGATTTGTATCTAAAATTCCCTACATTTCAAGCAGGTTGGCTTCAGGTCCTCTGGGTCAAGCCATTCTGTTTCTTCTTTTTAAAAATTAATAAATCAAAGCATCCAACGGTTTGCACTACAGGCCTCTAAGCACATATAAACATGACTGAGTATAAATACATGCTCAAGTGTTTGTAGGATTGCACAGCTCCATGGAATAACTCACCAATGAACAAAATCGGGAAGGTGATAAATAGCAAGAAGACATGGGGAACCAAGTTGAGGGCATCCACAAAGCAGACATTTCTTAGGACACCAGCACTGATGTTGTAGGCTGAAGCATTGTCGTTGCCACAAAATGCGAGCCTCATTGCTTCCAGAAAGTCTGACTACTACAAAAAAGAAACATGTTGAAGCAATAGTTGACTACCAAGACTACTAGAATTCCTTTTAGCTAAACACAAAATAAATAAAGAGATACAGAAGGAGCGCACTGAAGAACCCATAGAGAATAACTTAGTTGTACTTTGAAAATGCTTTTGGGCCCCATCAAGTATACGCATATTAGAGTGAAGGCTCTGTGTATATTAAATGTACTACTTAGTACATATTCATTACATACACTACACAATGTCTTCTAGTGTTCATTTTATGCACAAATGTTATGCTGCAAGCTCTCTATGAGAATATAGAGAAAGAAGGAGAAAGTTTTGAAAAAAAATTTCCTTTCTCATAAGAAAAGTCAAATGCACATAAGCTGACTCGTGTGTATTACTGTTTCTTTGATGAGCTCACATTCTCTGTGCAACATCTCTGTTCATACAATTTGTTGCACTATGTTCTCAGTGCAAACTCTAAACCTTTGATATTTGTGATTTGGCAGCTTGGCATTCACTGGTATTTTGTATTTCATCATTGTCCCATAGAACAACAATGGTCACATATACTAGTCATTACAGATAATTGCCAAACTCTTAATCAAAGTAGATTCTGTTGAAGATTGCATAGGCAGTAAATCAGCATTTATGCTTGATCCAGCAAATCCTTATGCACGTGCTTAGCCTCATGTAAGCAGTTCTCTGGCTTCCATGATTTCTTATGAGATGATCTTTGTGCACCAAGATAAGCTCATGCATTTGTGCTTGCAGAGTGTGGGCCATAGTATGACCCAGAGTTATGGTTAGCTTCTGGCTTTTATCAACCCGTGCATCGTTTATTTATTCATTCTTCTTTATAGGGAGATGAAACAAGACTGCAACCAAAATGTTTCCTTGCTGGTTTCTTTTCCTGAGACTTACATGCAGCAACATAGTGCTGTAGATTAGGTTGTATAAACTCATTTGCTCACATCTTTTTTTCCCAAATTTTACGTACTAAAATGGAAAGAATATCTTTAATTCAGCAAAGCATATGTAAACTTTGGTGAATGCATCTTTCTGCAACAACATCGTCATTAATGAGTTTTGCAGAATCAGAACAATATAGACATGCAAAAACCACATGAACACAGTTTTAAAAAAAGTTAGTTCAATGGGGAGGAAAAGGCTTTCCCTCTTTCCTCAAATAGTTCAGATTAGTTCTGTAAGCCTCGCTCTTTAAACAAGGTAAGCATAACAAGGTAAGCGTAAACTACTCAAGTACTCCTTTAGAGAGAACAGCAACATATAGATCTTCAAAAGAATAGAGTTCAAAGAGGCACTTTGAACCTCTGCTAAACCCCTTTTTTCCTTTTAACTAACTTTATGCTGGATCTGAAAAGCATAATCCATATTGATGTACATTAGTGAAATTTGTAAAGGAGTTTAATTGAAAAGAATGTGATAAATGCTGTCTTTTTCCAAACATATCAGCAATTTATGGTCTGAGATTTGGCAGCAGTTAAGCATAATTCAGTCATATGGTGGACCACATGATCCTGCAAAAATGCATGCATGTATTTACTGTGGTACAAAAGCTGACGGGCAACCCACTCAATCTTGTGGAGAACACAATTTGATGGAGAGTTTGGCCCATTCGCTATCATGGAGTGATATGACCACTACCATTCTACTGTTTTATTTTTACATAAAAATATATTCATAAATGCATAGGACTAGTAACACAAAAGAAACATTATGTTAATATGAATTCTGTCTGAATAAACTGAGGAGTTATTAGCAAAACAAGTATGGAACTTCAAAAAAACCTACAGAGAGATTCTTTGTTTTTAATTTGTATAAGCTTGACATGTCTCCTTTAAGACAAACATAATGGTAATGATAATCTCTTGAAAATCAGCAGCGTTGTTTCCTCATTTTTATCGAAGGTCAGAAGTCCAAGGGAGTTATGCTGGGAATTTTCCTCCCTTTCCCACAAATAGGACTCTTTTCTGAGACAGTGTAAAATGCTATTGTGGTCTAGTGGTTGGATTGGTACCGAAAGGCAGGAGGATCCTGGGTTCAAATGAGCACCAAAACATTGACTTCCAGTGTAGCTTTTGGCTTCTAGTCAAAAATAAATCTGAGAGAAAGGATTAAAACCACGTCCAAGAGGATCTAAGGGAACTGTTGGGTTTTTTTTCTATTTTTCTGGAAGGGAAAAGGAATATAGGCAATAGAAGTTCCCATGGAAGAAAGAACTACTAGCTGCATGGAGGGTGCTATCTGCTAGCTAGGACCTACCATCAGTTTGTAAAGGTTTCATATCACACCTCAAACAATAGTCCCTAAAAGTTCTCAAGAAAGACGCATCTTTCAAGAATCACATCTGCATCTTCACAAAAATCTGTGCTGTGCCTAGTTTTGTGATGGAGTATGTCCAATAACACACTCTTAAAACCAACTGTCCTTTGCACATTGGGAGGGCTGAGGAAAGAATCTGGTCCTATTGTTAATACTGATGTATAGAGACAGTGCCCATCATACTGATGATAGTTTTCAAGAGTAGGTATAAGCAGTCTGTTCACAATACTTTTGTCACAGGTTCATTTCAAAAGAGAGGTAGAATTTTATTGTCTTCTCTTCAAGCAAGAGAGAAAAGTAAAGAGCTTGGGTTGGTTAGTTTGTTAAAAAAACCCAGAAAATCAAAAAGATTACATTGCCAATGAAATGAGATAGGGTAATTGACAACAAATTCCCAAGTTTTTAAATCAGAAAACACTTCATCATTGATCGGCACATCCAGTGACCATGTTCATTAAACCTTCACAGGCTTAAAATCTATCAAAACATTCTGATCAGTGTCATGATACTGTGTTGACCCAATGCAGCTTATGATTTGGCCTCATAAAACGCTCACCAGGTACAACTTCCCTTTTTAGCAGCACCCACTTCAGGACACACATCTAGTACAGTATGGCACTGATAGGGAATAGAAAAGAACTGTAGAAGCGTTAATACTCCAGTGATCCCTCCTTCCTTCCTCCCTTTCTTCCATCCGTTTGTCCACCACCACTGTGCTAGAAATGAACTACAGCTGGAAGGAGAGGACTCATGTTCTGCATCTATTGATGCATGCCAACTTTCATAGACACTTTCTGGTGTTTACACAGACAGGCTAGTAGTTATCTGTATCTTCAAGAGTGGTGTATGAAAATACGCTGCAGTACATTAGAGCTCTAAGAAATAATTTTATCTCCAGTGTGCCTCACAGGGAGCAAGAAACCACTCCATCATTCCCTCCCCATCCATTTCTGGTGCAGAAGGTAGATCCAATATACCCTCCACACTTTTGCCCATGTGACTCAAATCTTGCTCTGTTTTTTGGAAAACTTACATACACAGGAGGCTCTGGAGATGCACTGACGCACAGGCCCATCACACCAGGCATAAAGCACGTCACGTAGTTTCTACTTCTTTGCTCAAGTTTCACAGACAGGGGAAATACATTGGATGAAATTTTACTGACACGTAAGGGAGGATGCTTTGCATTTACAGTCATGCAAGTGAGACTTCCATTTGGTTCGAAGCTGAAATTAGCCATTACTTTCTGCTGCATCAGGGCATGCCGCCAGAACCTCATTTTCATTGGCCTCAAGATTTAACAAGCTGTGTTCATTTCCAAAGGAGGACAGAAAAGAAAAGCCCCTAAAGCAGAAGAACAAGTCCTTGATTTCTCTAGACAGTATGGGGCATTTTACAACAATGCTTGCGCATCTCCACCAACATCAACAGCAGTTGGACCATGACAGGTTTCCAGAGCAATTGCTCATCCAAGGCAACAGGGTAACCTTCAGTCTTCTTCAAAGGAAAATTTGATAACATAATGGCAAAATTTCTCATGCCCACACTCAGATCCCATGCTTACAAAGTTCAGCGTAGCTACAGATGAACACATTCTTAGGGCTGCAAATAGTGCAAGTAGCATGTTCAAAAGTTTCAAACTAATTTGATAGTCTAAGTTTCATTTTCAAACAGTATTTCAGTATTGGGAGTTAAGGCTAAAGAGATCTTTAATAATTCTAAAAATTTTAAAGAGTTTTAAGGCCTCAGGTATACTGACTTTTAATGAGTCACAGTTTTCAAAATTTTCACTCAAAAAACTGAGCCTGGAAGTGAAGACAGTTTGAAAGATCTTGACTGCAGAAAACGAATGAAAGGCATAGTGAAAAGGCACTATTCCCTCCTCTCTGCAAAACCATAAGATTTAATTTCATGAAATGGAAGAACAACAAATTTAGAAAAAAAAATTAAGAATTGCAGTTGTGCTTACTGTTACAACTCATCAAACACTGCACCTGGTTTTAGAAAGGAAGATGGAACACTTTTATGACTGATCACTGACCAAATCTGGATCCTGTAATAATAATTAAACTACTCTTCCATTGGCTATAATTCTTCTAGTAATCCAATGCTGGGCTTCAGTCAGAACTAGGTCTGTAGAGAGGTGAATAGAGGTATTTTGCCTACGTGGGGAAGTGCTGTTTGTCTCAGTGCTGAGCATTGTGCAAGTATATAATTAAATACACTGAAGACTTTTTATATTTTTTCCCAAGCATCAGTTATCGATCATTGCCAAAGAAAGAATGCTGACCACAGCAAACAACAGTCTAACCCTGTAACGAATAACCATGCTGAAGACCTTTGAATTAGTCCTAAGCAAGTCAGAATACAGAGCAGACTCAAGGTTTCCCACAGTGTAGCCAAATGTGACTTTCTCCTTACCAAAGATGAGGAGACAGACTTTCTAGGCCACAGTAAGTAGGCAGGGAGAGATCAAATAGGAAAAACCAGGCTGCAGAGCCACATGAGAAGAAATTTGAAGATACTTCTGTTATTAAGGGATGAAAGAGATAAAAACAGTTATTACTGCAACTCAGAGAGGTTATCACATTCCATAGCAGCAGTTGCCCTTCTATACCTGCCAAGACCCCTTCCTTGATAACACTGGCAACAGCACAAAGCTGGGCTTCCTGGAACTGTACATAGGTGAATTAAGCAGCAAAGCCAGATGGTTTTATCATCCTCAGCAGTCCACTGCTGTAGGCAGCTGCCTGCTCCACTGTAGCCTACACAGTAGGGAGCCACGCAAATATCAGTTCAGTCTCAGGATTAATGGTCTTAATCACCATGGTGCTGTTCCCAAGATGAGAAGCCCTGCTCACAGCAAGCTTGACATCGGTTCTGAGTTGTTGCAGTTGCCATACTTCAATTCCAAAGTTGGCTTATGCAGGACTATCTCAAGGACCCATGAGCCATAGGGCATAACAGCAGAAAAATGTCCACTAGTTTCTTAGCAAATCTTTATCTATGGGTCCCAAAGGAAGGGATAGTCACTGGAAAGCCAAGACCTTTTCCCTAAGCTCATGTTCAGGTTGAAATCTTTAGAGCTGAAGGCTTATTTACAGGCAGATGGCTTTGTCTAGGCAACAGCAATGTCTGCAAAAAATGGGAGCCGTCTGACTGCCACATTAAAACAATAAAAATGCATAACCCAAACATGAATATTCAGGAGAGAACAGATGAAAGGGTAACAAGTTGTTTTGAAATTTGTTGGTCATGTGCCGTTATTGACCACTATTTCTCATCAGGTAGTAGCAGCCTTTCAGAAAAACTAACAGTTTTTCTCATATCCTCAGAGATCCTCATATACTGATTTAAGAAGACAATGTTATTCATAGTCATTACAAAAAATGGCTTTCCCAGAGGTAATTTCCCTTTCTGTTGAATATAACAGGCCACCAAATTATGCTGGGATGTACTCACCAAAGTGAATACATCACAATAGATTTGCTTCACTACTAATTATAGCAGGAATATTATACTTTATAATAAAGTTGCCAAGCATAGTAGGTTCAACCTAGCATTTCATTCAGGGGAAATGCAGTGATGTGGTAAAGATCATCCGATAACAAGCATGTGCTATCTGAGGCTACCAGCTACATACAGCACCCCAAACAGGAGTGCCAAGTACCAGGTAATTTTTTGTGTTAACACTTGTAGGCTGGAAGGCTTTTGTCCCTCAAAGTTATTGACAAATTGCTCATTTTAACTTCAGTCTTTACAAACTCTAGAATTGGTCAGAAATTTTCAGCCGTGTTTTTTTCTCCCTTTGAAAATGGCCTTTGCTGAGCAGCCAGCTACAAGCTAAAGCCATGAGCAAAACTTGACAGAGTGGAAATGGAAAGAACAATCAGGAGGACGGTTCCATGATGGTGCTGTGGAAGGCAAGCTTCAGCTCTCCTTTACATCATTTGGGAATCTGATTCCCCGTTGGTTTAATTTAATGAGGATGTGAACTATCTGAACAGCAGTTCACCCTGCAGTGAAATAGCTAAAAAAACTTACGTTCTTTAAGCATTTAAATTTTCATGCTAAAATGCCCATCAGTGGCAAGTTGAGACTTTCTGGTTTTGGGCTAAGTTGTACAGACATAGTCATAATATAATAAACAGAAAATAGTACAAAAGAGATTCAGGAATAAATATTCACTGTGAAGAACAAGGTTTTGGGAAGAAAAAAAACAGGACAGATTTGTAAACGTGAATATGAGGTAGCATTGAATATAAACACTTAAATATCTCATTTTAGCAAGCATATATGGGGATTCTCAGGGCACTAAGCCAGTTCTTGAGATATATTTTCCCTAAGCAATTGTGAAGAAGACAATGGGTAAATGGTAGATAATTTAAATTTCCATTAAAATTATGAGAACATCCTCACCAAGTGCAAAACTGTAAGAATTCTAGTTAAAAACATTTTAATTACCTTAGGGTCTTTTAAAGTGGATTTAAAAGTCTTCAAGAGTTTCATATTACCTGGATTATCACTCTGTTCAGCATGCCCTGCAAGATACTTATGACTATAAAGAAAAGAGTATAAATACACTCCTCAGGTGGACCTTGTTTGAGGGAAATAAGAATATTATGAAAAACATTTATTTCAGTAGTTCTGTTGCCTATATTAAAAAAAAAAATAAATTAATAGCTGCATTTCCTAATTAAAATACATCAGCTTACAGAGCATACCTGAGTCTGGGTTCAGATTTTTTTTTTGTCTTACATATAATGTGCATTATATGCCCATATATGCATATATACATGTGTATATATACATATATAGATATGTATATGCATACAGATGCAGGATGGAGAAAGTACTCAGAGTTTTACAATAGCAGTAGGTTCTTATCTTGTGAATAATTAAGTCATTACAAAAGCCAGCATTTTTCTTTCTGTCTTGAATTTCACAGAGAAAATTTTAACAAAGGTCTAATTATGAATCTATAGCTTTGGATAAGCACAATGGAAGGCCTAACTCTGAGCTTTGCCACAGATTTTAGGTTAGTGCTCTGAATCTTTTTCCTTCCTAGCTATAAACCTTCTAGTTTGTTGTTCTTACCTTCCTAAAAGCAGTGGACCTAATGCAGTCTATGTGATCTATAGCTTATGCATTATTTGCAAAGAGTTCTGCTAAGGTAATGGCAAAAAGTGCTGCCCCTTCAAAATCATTTTATCAAAAATGATCCTGTATAAAACATAATTTTCCTTTTTATTCCTGTTTCAGCTGTGACCACCTATTCTAGATAGACCCCGCTTCCTCCCTAAGCACTGTCCCAGTTACCTTGGGCCTTAAGGTGATGAATTACCTCTGATACTTGCCAGCATTCGCATCGCTAACTGGCATATACCAGCAGCCCGATCCAAATGTCACTGAAATCAATGCAAAGAATCTCATTGACTTCGGTAGGTTTTTGGATCAGGCTCCAAACACAGAGAAAATCACAACAGCAGTGGTGCTAAACAGGCTACTGGCACCGAAAAGCATTTCACACAAACATATGCAGTGGTCTCATGCACATCTAATACATTGCTTGCTTCTTTTTTGGTAAGCTTCTCAACACAATGCGATTTCCAACATCAGCGTGCTACGCTGCCTGCTGTAAAACCTTCTAATTCACATGCCAAGACAGGACACTTTAAAAAAGGAAACGTAGCCCTGTGAACAGCAGCAAAGAAAACATCAGCAGGAGGGGACGGTAAAGCCTGAGAATGCCTGCGAGTGGAAAAGGAAAAGGAAAAAGAGATTGGAGTTGTAATCCCAGGGAAGAACAAGGAGCAGTCCTGTCCCACAGATATAAAGGGAAGGAGGAGGAGGTGGTTAGTGGGAGATAATGGGGGAGGGTCATAGCATGCCCCGTTTGGTTGCTGAATGTTAGATCAAACTCTGCAGCTTACCTTTGTAAACACAAAACCAAAATACCAACCCAAAGTGTCACTCGGTTGTGCTATGTGATCAATATCATTCCGATGGCAGGATTTTCCTCCACTTAGCGAAGCCGCTCCAAGCCCTGGAGTGGATTATTTTTAGGCTGGTGATGGGAAGATCAGCTGCTGCCTCCTATCGAGTTTCCAAAGTGCACAAACTCTTCTTGCCTTTCTCATACGCTAAAGGGGGCAGGAAACTGGGAAGAGACAGGCAAGCAAAAAACACCAATTTTTTGCCTCTTGAAGCTACAGTCGCCTGGGATTTCTTCTGCTTGCTTTTATTTTCATTTTTCCCTCGCTGGAGTCGTAAGATGCCAAGAGGCTGCCTTACAGCGCACAGACTACTATCAGATAGTTTTGCCTGAAGTAATTGATTTAGATAAGGTAGTCTAACTTTTGGCAGGCTTGGGGAGCTTCAGCTTTTGAATTCTTTTGAATTAATCTTGGATAATTTGAATTTGACAACATAGTTTTGCACATCTTCCATCATCTTGAGCAGAAGAGAAAAAGAGACATCTACTCAGATATTTTACTTTACCCTGGATCCCTCCAGGCTCTTCTGCTTAAAATACAGATCAAATCCTGCTTTCTGATTACACAGATCTGTTTCTTTTGAAAGAGATTTTTTAAAACTTCAAATAAAATTCAAAACAAATTTGATGCTCATACCAAGAATGCAATTTTCAATACAAGAGCCCTCATTTATAAAAGCTAATATTGTCTGGCTGCAAAATACATGGTATATGTTTACTTAGAGAGAAAGAAGTCCCGACAGAGTTGATTGGTTTGTCTGCTCATTTTCTTTCAGTGCCATTGAACAAAGATATACCAAGGTTCAACTTTTCTATCATCATAGCTCCGCTTGAGCCGTACAACTCAAGGCCACAAATAAGCAAGAGAACCGGGACTTGGTTGTGCATCGCAAGACACATGGTAGCACAGGGTAGTTTTGAGCACAACTGTTCAGCCATTAGGTACCAGAGCTGGAGGCCCTTGGGACAGAATTTCCTTAGACCTTGCAGAATCTAGGGGTTGCATCTGGATGGCTAGAGAGCAAATGGTTTCCAATGGATTGTGGTCAAAGATGTTTTCATGCCATGAAAGGGATTACGGTGAGCTCTGAGCTGAGAATGTAGTCGGATAGCTGAAGCTAAACACTGGCAGGACTTAACAAAATCTTGACAAACCCAGCTTGCTCCTTTTTCTCTGATGTTTCTTATCTTATGACTGTAGGGGTAAGAAGGTAGACACCTCAGATCTGGAGAAAATTAGCGTCTTTTGTAATCTCTCATTGACTTGAAACATCAACGCAGCATTACACCGAGCAACTGAGTCCTCAAGAGTCCTCCACAGCACTTGAAACTTTTACATGCATTTACATATTTTTTGGTCTTTTTTTCCTTCCCTTTCATGTATTAAAGTTCAATGCTTTAGAAACAAGACTGTGGATTGAAAACTTCTGAGTTCTGCTATATACCTATGTTTCATTAAAGAACACAAAAAATAAAATCTTTAACCCATGTAATTATCATCTAAATTAGCATTGTCATGTGATATTTCTAAAAATACGTATAATTTCAGACAGAAGTGAGTAGCATTTATGGCCACAATTTTCTTTACCAAAACATGAAAATTTGGGTCATTGTCACCCAGCTCTATCGTTTCTGCCAAATTGTTTGAACAAGTAAGAAAAATAGAAGGTAAAAAAGGTAAAATAAACGTGGAAGCAACCAGCATGTTTCATTTTGCTGTTTCTAAATGAAGTGCTTTCATTCCTCTACATGACAAGCTAAAATGTTTTGAAATACATTTTTAAAAGGATTAAGAAAAACTAAAAGCTCTAAAATCAGAACACATTCTACTCTGATCTGAGAGGTTTTTTTTTTTTTTTTTAACCTGGGCTTTTCAATTTGCACGGGGGGAGGGAAGAGAAAAAAGAAAGAAAATTAAAAAAAAAAAAAAAAGAATAACGGGAACTTGAAGTGTTTCAGGCTACGTTTGGACCTGTATGTGAATGGCAAAATCCACGGACCAATCCTCAGGTGTAGTCGTGCAATGCATCACGTACGGTATGTCACCGATTTTCCCGCGCCAGCCT